ACGACAGATGTTTGGTAGGAAAGAAGAAGCAAACGACACCGGAGCATCCGCCAACCACCCACCAAGGCAAGCTTGCATAATAATAAGTGAGGCGTGCTGACAAAATGAGTTACTTCTTGCAATCCACGAAGGAAGATATTGGCCAAAAATCGACTCAGGTGTCAAATTTGTAGAATTTAAAAAAAAATCAATGTCATATTCTTTAACTATGTCTTTTGTTTCTTCATACTGATTTAATTATAAAAATGTCACCTATGAGCGTGATAGGCCAATACCTTTTCCCAAAAGGCTTGAATCCGAGAAGTAACTCATTTTGTCAGCACGCTTCACATAATGTGTACAAATACGTTATCCTAGTCATAGTCATAGTGTTGGTTTACTGGAATCCTGGAAGTTCCACTAAACAAGCAAAAGCGGAAAATATAACTGCGTCGCAACCTTAGCATTACTAAGTTCTTTCTGACATTTAAAAAAATCGTTTTGAGTTACCAAGACCATGAGGTCAGAAACCAAATGTTCTATCTACTCTATCAAAATCGTACGATTATTCAGAGTCGTTTCAAAATTATTCAAAGAATTGAATTGGCCAATATCTTCATTTGTGGCGTCGGTGGCCTAGTGGTTAGGCTCTCGGACTCGCAACCGTAAGGTCGTGGGTTCGAATCCCGTCAGGGGCCCGACGTTGTGTCCTTGGGAAGGCACTTTACACGAATTTTCCTCACTTCACCCAGGTGGGAATGGGTACCCGGCTATAGACAGCGAAAGATCTTGTCAGTTTGTTAATGTTTGAGCGCTTACTCAGCTGCTTGCACTGTATGCTTCCCGGGAAGCTGAGAATGTTTCGGAGTGTTCTATGGTCTGCTGGGGTAATAATATAGTGTAAAGCGCATAGAGCCTGTTGTTGAGCGGGGATATGCGCTATACAAATGCTATTTATTATTATTATTTTTAAACCAAGCCGTCTGCTGATTCTCGTTAACGGCTTTGTTCATTCCACCCCAGACCACACAAAATCGTGCAGTTTCATGGCTTCTGTTCCTCATTGACAGATGATTATGTACAAAATCTAAATAACACAGTCCATGTGCAAAAAAGGTTTCGTGCTCGACATCCCAAACAAAAACAAAATTAATACCAATGAGCACATGTTATGTTAAGTCCAGGTTTTGTGTTGTATCTGTTGCTGCTCTGTTATCCAATCTTTTTAAAAATCTAAAGATGCTGTACATTGCAGAGGCAATAATATTCTCTTTTCATTTGACATTCAATACATGTCCCTTCTACCAATGTTGATGCACTTCAATAAACGTGCGAACATACTTTTGCATTTCTCTGATTCCGCACAATTTTGCCAAGCCTGATTTTTTAAAGGTCAATTTTGAATGGCCATATCTCGGGCGTCTCTGAGCATAGATGAAATATCAATGTGTCAAACGATGAAGAATTAATTCAGCTTTAAATTTAAATTGGTATGCTGCATGAGCGTGTAGTGAAAGCCTATAACACGATGAATGGGTGATTACATTTTCAAGTTTCTTTTGGAAGCCACTATGTATCCAGCTTGCAGTTTTGGGGTTCAAATTAGGAGGTTATGAATAGGTCCCTGGGTTCGAAGCGCAGCCTGGTCCAACGTTATGTCCTTTGGGAAAGGCACTAGGAATGAATTTTTCTATTTGGCTTAGCCGTATCGGAGATAGACGGAGGGCTTTCGTGTTCTAAAGGTTACGGTGTTCGTCTTTCATTCAATAGGTCCCGGGTTCGAAACCTTACAGCGACAGAAAAATAGTTTCTTCTCTAAATGTTCTCCTTTCCTCTACTTTTCTGCTCTTTTTTTTGGTGGGG